CTCTTCTCTCCCCCCCCTGTTCAAGCGTGGGGGGGTACGACCAATTAATGCAATTTCGAAAGCAACGAACAAAGACACATTTTTTCCCCAGAACATGGTGCCCCGCAGATGTACAACAATATAGGGGGGTAGNAGCAAAAGTCTCAACTCGTGTCAGCGGTTCACCAGTGCCCGTGCGGGCGATCCATGCACGCGTTTTGTGGTCGGGGCATCGGAGAGGAAGGCTACGGACAGCAGAGAGAGTGCTCGGATTGCCAGAAGAGCAAAGGTGGAGACCAGGCTGGCAGCAGCAGCAGTCCCATGGAAGTGGTCAAGAAGATGTCCTTGCCGGAGAGTGCCAAGGACTTGGACGCTAGGTCCATGCCGCGAGTGTTGTCGGACAACTTGTTCGTCGAGAGCACCTCCGGCCTCACTGAACAAGAAGTGCGGAGCGCAGTGAGCACGTGGCTTCGTGTAGAGGACAATGAAGAGGTCTTGAGGGAAGAAGTAGAACTCGAGATGGAAGAGGTAACGGAGAACATGTCAAGAGTACACGTCGAAGACGACGTGTCCAGTGAAGAGGAAGACCAGGACGGTAGGCAAGAGTCGTGCATGACATCTACGATTTCAGAGGCCGAGGTTCGCTCTCGTCTCGAGGATGTCCGCTCCTATTTGTACGCGAACGGAAGAGACGGCGAGTACAGCGAAACGGTGTACCTTCTTTCGAAGACTGTGCATTCGTTCACTCATGAAACTCAAGTCAAGCGAAGAACGAAGGAGGGGGGTGAGGTGCAGGCGACTCTTCGGGATGTGTGGGCGACGTAGTTTTTGGTGTTTGAGGACAACACACTTGGCAGCCCACATTCATTGTTTGGGATTTTTTTGCCTTTCTCGTGGAGTTAAATTTTGGCATTTTTTGTTTTGTGTTTTTGCCTCGTGTTGACCTTTGGGGAAGAGCGGTGTTCTCTTTTCGGTGGGTTTGCCCGATTTTTTGTATGTTGTGGTCTGCGCTACCGACCGTTTCCTAGTGTCCCTCAGATCCCTCTAAGGGGTCGACTGGGTTTGTTTGGTCCCTATGTGGCAGGTAACTTGCGTGTATCGTATCAGAGCTAGTTCCAACAAACTGATGTGTCTCAGGTGTGTTCGCGATATCACGGGCATGATGTTCACCGTGAGGACAACGCCTTGACAATAAGAAAAGCCTGCAACAACACCAGCGCACACTGCCGTACACATTACAATAGGTCGTGCTGTACTCCTTCCCACGTTTCGATGGTGGAGGGAAATTCAAAAATGTGTACAGTATTGGAGTACAGCAGCAGTAGTGTTGCGGCCTTCAATTGACGTGTTGTCGCAGTTTTTAAGCAGCACAATTTCGTGGTCGCATTCCTGCTTCAAATGCGCGTATTTTGACACATGTTACACCTCCATTGACCCCGGGGATGGTGAGTTAGTGGCCCCGGAATCCTAAAGACACTTCCCCGCGTTGAAGACACTCCAAAAAAAAAAAACGCGGTGTGTCTTTAAAGCGGGGTCGACTGTATCAAGACGGACCAGTCTGTTCCTGTCGCTGTGTCGCTTTGCAGGTAGGTCTATTGGTGCCGAAGAGTTCGTCCTTTCCGATTTTTTGCCGACAGTTCCTTTTTCGCCGGCGCCTCTTGAAATTGTTTGGTTTTTCGCCTCCGCGCGCGGGCTCCTCCCGGTTGCTTCGAGCCTTCGTGATGTTGCGTCGATTTTTTGCCGACAGTTCCTTTTTCGCCGGTGAATCTTGAAATTTTTTAGTTTTTCGCCTCCGCGCGCGGGCTCCTCCCGGTTGCTTCGAGCCTTTGTGATGTTGCGTTGCAAGATCCTCTGCTGTGGAATGCACGCCACTACATGCTAACTTGCTGCTGTGAACGCGCGACGTTTTTTTTTTTTCGCTTCCCCACAATTGAATGCCGCCGCGTAATTCGCCGCCAAACTGGCGATCTCCGCTCTTTTTGACAACCTGTGCTGTTCGGCTTGTCACACAACATTAACATGATCATGAGAGGTGTGTGCGTCTATCCCATCTACGCTCAACAGCAGTGTAATCACAGAGTTGAACCCGGCATGCGAAAACGTTTCGGTGGCGGCAGAGATGCGCGTGATTTGAGCACTCTGTTTTGCGGGCGACAGCGGATGAACTTTGGCGTAGCCACAAAAGTTTTCATCCATCTTTGCGGCAGAACTTTCGTATATGTATGGCTCGAACAGTTCGGGTTATCATTATTTCGCATTTGTCGTTCAAACATAACGACTAAATATCAGAGGTGTGTGCGCTTCTCGTCTACGCAAAACAGCAGTTTAGATCACAAACTTCAACCCGGCATGAACGCTGCGGCGGCGTGGAAAATGCGGGTGTTTCGATGACAGAAAACTCCCGCTGTGGGTGATTTTGCGGGCCATTTCCTGGCACCTGTTTTTTTTTTGCGCGAAGGGCGCACGCCCGCGCTCCCGCCACCATCAACAACGCCACCAACCACCATGTCTAGCTTCCTCGACGACAACTCCCCTTCCAAGAAAGCCAAGCCCGGACAGACCTCTCACGGTGCCGCCTCCCCCGACGGCTTCAAGATTGTCGGTGAGGTTTTCCCTGGTCGGCTGTGCCCGGAGGACAACAAGGACCTCCTGAAACGCTACACCAACGGTCGCCTCTTCGTCGTCTGCTCGGGCAACATCAAGGACGACCCCTCCACCTGCCAGTTCACCGCGAACTGTTTCGGAAAAGACCGCGTCAAGCCCGGCGAGGAGTCGAAGATCGCGTGCACCGTCTGCACGGTGCCGGTCTAGTACACCCTCTCGCTCGGCAGGAGCACTGGCCGCACGGATCCCGTTACGGGAAAACTGAGTGAGTCTGTTTTTTTGGATGCCCGCTTTGCCATCGTCGTAGTATACCGCGTCAAATAAACCTAGTTTTTGCGTGACTCTGCTGTGCTAGACTATTCATGTTTTACCCGTGTGTTCTCTTCTTCTTGCCCTTTCCCCGTTTACTTTCCTCATCAGTCTACCAGAACGTCCACGTCTACTTTGACACCTGCTGGGGAAAGAGAGCCTTCGACCCCAAGACGAACAAGGAAGTGCTGTCTCACTTAACAACCGCCCCCGCTTCCCTCGTCGGGGTAAGAGTGTTGCTGTTGCTAGTCGTCGGTGTTTTTTATTCTCTTATTGTTAGGCTGTGTCTTATCAGGCCGAAAAAATACGTGACTTATTTTACCGAACAGTAACTTTTTTCAC